GGGGGGGGGGGGTGTCTCAGTGGCTTCTCCCGCAGTCCCCACAAAGCAATAGAGCTCAAATCCACGGCCCACCCACCTCCTGACCCCCGCACCGCCCAGTGGGAGCTGGGGCAGCACACCTGGGCCTCCCTGTTAGGACCCAGCCCCAGCAGCACAGGCAGGCAGACCGTGATAAACAAACAAACCAGGCGGCGGGGCTTTTACAGACGGTGGCAATGCCCCCCAATCTGGTCCTCCTGTGTGGAATACCAGGTGCCTGGGGTGGGGGGCGGGCAGGTGCCTGAGGCGGGGCGGGGGCCATGCTGCCTCTGGCCTCCACAGCTCTGGATCTCCATTTCTGTTTCATAGGGAAGCCCCCAGGCCCCTGTGTCTGCGGAGACAGAGCACGTGTTTTTGGTTGCAAGCAACCGAATTAGGAGTTACTCTCTAACTAGTACGCGGCTGACAAGCATCTGACGGCTGTGCAGGGCTGCGAGCGTCTGGGACAGAAGCTGCTGAGGATGCACAGTAGCTGGGGATCTGCTGGGGGAAATCTGGGCAAATGAAGCCCCTTTGAGTGTCGTCTATGAGCCAGGCCAGAGGGCAAATGCCAGTGTCGCCTAGAGCAGGACGCTGCTGGGAAGGGAGGACAACCACACACACACACAGGTGACACGGGGCACACGCCTGCAGAACGACAGTCACTTGCACAGGTGCATCCACACCACCCAGACACTCACATGCAGACACACATGTGAGGCATGCACACACCCACTCACACATGCATGCGCATCTGCTACACCCAGACACACGTGCAGATGAACACGCATGCGGGGCACAGAACACAGACGGCCCAGAGACAAATAGAACTTCTAGGTGCAGGCAAACACAGCCCCATCAGGGCCACATGAAGATGAGCATGTGATAGACATGTCAACATGCAAGCACATGACACACCAGCCACATGCACACACAACAGAGGGGCCCAGCCAGCTGCTGGGCGTGCTGGCCCCGCCCCCTCCCAATCACCACCCCGCTCTCCCCATCTGGCCGCATCACACAGGCCACTGACGCCTCCGCCCGGTCTGCCTGCCTGTGCTGCTGTGACTGCAGTGGGGAGCCCAGGTGCTAGTGGTGACTGGTGACCGGTGACCGTGAGGACTGACAGGCGCCAGGCTGCAGAGGAGGGCGGTCCTTCCCTGGAACACCGCTGGGTGGGAGGGCGGCTGGGGCTAATGGTCAGTCACACCCATAAAAAGCCGCCCTGCAGCTCGGAACTTGGTAAACCAGGGCCGGCCGGGCCGGCCAACAGCCGCACCTGGCACCTGGCTTTCGCGGCGCTCGGCCTGCTGATACTTCAGGGAAAAGGAATGATGTCCTGGGGGGCAGTCTGTTCCCCAAGGATGGGGGTGGGAGCAGGAAGGGGAGCCCTGCACAGCAAGCCTGCCCAGGCCAAGCGAGGTACTGGGGAGGTGGGGGGGAGGGGGTCACTAGGGAACGGCTGCTCCATGCCCAGGACCCCCAAGTCCAAGTGCCACACGACAGGACCCTCTCCCTCAGAACCTCTGCCCCCTCAGCCCATCTCCAGCCCCGTGCACACCCCCTTCGGGCCAGCTCTGCCAAGACCACCCTGGGATCCGCCCCGGGCAGGGTTCCGATGGGGGCTCCGGAGGGGACAGGACACGCAGGGAGAAAGAGGCACAGAGGGTCGGGGGAGGGGGGGACTTACGGAATAGCCTCTGCCCGAGAAGGCCTGCGCTGAGCTCTGTGGAAGGAAGAGAACATCCGTAACCAGGGTAACCAGGCTCGCAGCCCCACCGCCACCAGCCCTCTGAGGCCACCCCGGGGCCCGTCTGAATGGTCAGGGCACCCCTGTCCCTGGCATAGACGCCGTGACCCTGAGACAGGCCCAGAGACCACGCCCTGGGCCCTGGCGGGAACCAGGGGTTGGGGGTCAGGACCGAGGACACAGCTGGGCCTCACAGACCCAGGGCCCCACTCGGGCCTTCGCCCGGAGACCCGGATATGGCCCAGCCACACCCCCACACACAGGCGACAAAGCCCACGTCCCTCAACTCTGAGCCAAGTGTCGGCCCCCAGAGGCCCGAGTTCCACACGTGCTCTGTCCTCACCTGGGTCGGTCCTCCTGGGGCCAACCCTCCCGGGGGGTCGCCCCTCTGGGCCTGCCAGCCTGCCCCGTGCCACCCCCCACCTCCCAGAGACGGGGAGGGGAGGCGCGGGAAGGCTTTCGGGAGGAGCTGGACGGGGACCTCCGGCCTCGGAGTCAGGATGAGCTGTGGCCTGGAGGCCGTGGGAGGAAGTGGTTCGGAGGTGGGTCTCACCCCTGCCTCACAGGGAGGCCCCCAGGGCTGGCCCCTAAGGCACAGGCTGGCGGGATGGGGCTGGGCCCGTCCCGCCTGGGCTGCAGCTGTGGGACGCCCCCTCCCCAGGCAGACCCCTGCCAGGTCCTCATCGGCTCCTGGGTCCCCGCTGGGCAGAGTTCGCCCTGGCAGCCTCCAGCCTGGAGGCCCTGCTGACCCAGAGCCCGCTTCCTGCTTCCAGGCCGACACTCAGAGGTGGAACTGGGCGGCCCCTCTCCCATCTTGTGGGAAAGACCGAGGGGGCAATCCGTCCGCAGCCTCGGCCTCACCCCTCACCGCTCCCCAGGCCTCCATTTAAATGATAATGAGGAAAACTCACTCCTTTAGCCTCCAGGGCAGCCACGCCTGCAGCTGGGGGTCCAATCTGGGCCTCCTATAGGGCCTCCCAGGGGCCCCTCCCCCAGGAACCCCTCCCCTATTCCTAGCCTTCCTCCAAGCTCTGGGACCTGAAACCCCTGGGGTCAGGGCCACCTGATCTGGTCTCCCCATCGCTGGCCAAATCCCGGGTCAGCCCCTCACGGGGTCCCAGGCCCCCCCCACCTCCAGGGCCCTGAGCTCAGGGACCTCCTGCCAGGACAGCGAAGGCATCCCCAGCCTCAGGCTGAGGCCAGCGGCCACCCCTGCCCACCACCCCAAGTCCGAGCCATTTCACTCCCAGAGCCCCTGTCTCCAGTCCAGTCCTGCCACCGGAGTGTCCGGCCTGTGCCTGCCCGCTGGACAGTGGGCCCCCACCTGACACCCACCCGCCACCCGGCCTCCACCGGCTCCCGCCAGCCTCCCTCCCTCCCGGCGGAGCCCTGGTAAGCGAGAAGCTGTTCACTGAGCGCTGGAGGGTCTGTGGGAGGACGGCGGCCCAGACTCCCGGGGTCTGGGTACTCACGTCACTGAGCTGGTCCCGGGAGGCGCTGAGCCGGGAGCTGGTGGCTTCGCGGAAGCCCTCGTCCTCGCTGTGGCGGTCGCCCCCTCTGGACAGGACAGCCTTCACCTGGGGACAGAGAGAGGGCTCAGCAAGCAGCCTGAGCCTCTGCACGTCTGCTGGGGGGGTGGGGGGCAGCTCCACCCGAGGGGGCAGCCCAGGGTGGGCAGGTACTGCACGTGGCCCAGCTGAGTGGAGCCCAGACAGGAAGGACACACAAGGCTCAAGGACAGGAGTCTGCAGCTGGCTCTGTCCCCTCCCCAGTGGTCGCCACACCCCTCGCCTACACCCAGCAGGGTGGCAACTACCTCCCCCTCTCTTCAGACCCCCCACAATCCCAGGCTGGCATCAGGCTGCAGGGCTGGGTGTGGACGGCCACAGGCTGTGTGACCCAGGGCCATCACTCAGCCTCTCTGTGCCTGTCCTGTCGCCTGCGGCAGCTCCTGCTCTTCACACAAAAGCCTCCCTGGACACCGCATGCCCAGCTCACGGGAGGAGCAGAGATCCGTGGTGTTTAAGTGGCAATGAGAGGAGTGGCCCAGATATATGTATTTTTATTGATTTCAGAGAGGGAGAGGAAAAGAGATAGGAACATCAATGATGAGAGAGAATCAGTGACTGGCTGCCTCCTGCAGACCCCACTGGGGATCAAGCCTGCAACCCCGGCATGTGCCTTGACCAGAATCGAACCCTGACCTCCTGGTTCATAGGTTGATGCTCAATCCCTGGGCCACGCTGGCCGGGCTCGCACTTTACTTTTTACTTGAAAATAACTCTAACCTCACAAAGCTGTGGGGACACGACGCACATCCCAGCCCCTGCCCCTGCCCCTCCCACACCCAGGAAGCACGTGGCCTTGCGTCCGGCTCCGTGTCC